TATACCGCATTCACTGGATTTCCACAGTCGGCTGTAGACACCAAAGCCTCTAAAAACGGGGGGAAAAAACAGAAGGAGCGTGGAAACCTCAGTTCCTTCAGTTTCTCATTTGTGGCACTTTGAAGCCTCTGTTGTGTTGAGTGTGGCTGACTTAGATTTTGTAATTTTCTCATGTCTAAAATGCAGCAGAAAGTTCTTTATAAATAAAGAACTTTCTTCTCTTGGGGGAGAAAAGAGGAGAAAGTGCGGCCAAACTTGAGACAAACCATCTGGTTTTGGACTCTTGGGTTCAAATGGTCAGCTGAAAGTAAAATATTAAACAGATTGTTGATCAGCTTAAAAAAAAGAAAAAGAAAAGACTTACACTTTCCAGATTCTTTAAAAGACATGATTTCAAATAGTTCCCTTTGTGTCTACCAATCAAAACTGACCGTGGAAGCTGTTGAAATTCAGCTGTTGGTGACACTTTTAACATTGTTCGTAGACCTTCCCTTAGCTCAGATATTTGACACCCACATCAGAACGTATCCAAAAATGTAAAAGTGAAGTGATCTCCCTCTAAGAGTCAGTGGCTCAGAGAGCGATATCCAAAGCAATCAATGCTGACAAAATGGGGTAATCAGATAAAAAGATGTCGACTCAGCTGCAGTGCGTTTTGTGCCGTTACTGGTCGGACGGCCAAGTGTGTTGGGGGTTAAACTTGTAAAATCCCAGCTGTGAGTCGATGGCGAGTGCAGCCTCGGCCGAGGCGAAAGGCCGATCTCTGCCGGTGTTTTTATTAAACAGCTGTGCTGTCATCGGTCTAGACATCTGCCTTTATCTGCTTTTGTTGTGCCGCTGAATGGTGTAAACCGTCCGAGCCCAGATCCTCACCACCACAACCCTGTGTGTGTGTGTGTGTGTGTGTGTGTACGTGCGGGACGCTGTTTTCCCATCACGCTCACCTAAAGCTAGAGCTTTAGTTTCTTAACTTACCTTACTGCCTCTATGGGTGGAAGAGACCAATAGATCTGCATCCCGAAGAGCTCATGGGCTGCCTATGTTCTCTTTTCCACAAAAAGTCATTTTGTCTCCTCTCTATTTCTGACCAAACTTTGTGTCTGTTGCATACTTGGTCCCCAGGGCATGCAGTTAAGATTTAAAACTCTCCTTTGCTCAAACGCCAGGCAGTGGCATCCTTGTCATGTATTTTTGTTTACCTTGTTTGTTTCCCCGCTTTTCTTTATCAAAGTGCTTCCAGTGTTATTTCTTCTTTCTTTATTACTTTCTTTCTTTTTAACCTGATTTTTGTCGTTTCACTTGCGGGCTCATTTCTACAGGTCAACCCAAAAATGCTGACGCGATCAGAATGGAATCCAGTGGCGTAAGCTTCATAAACAAACGGGTGCATTCTGCTGCGTCTGTGAACTGAATTTTTTTTTATTTTTTCACAACTAGAATTGAACCCACACTGACATATCTGAACCGGCTAGCTTTCCTGGAAAGACAGTTGATGTAAGCCGCTTCATTTCACTCAGAACGGGACATCGAGCGATGCTCGATCACAACAAACTGCATCCACTCAAAGTTACTGTTACATTCTAGACTGACACTAAATCATATGAAGATTCACATAAAGATTTTGTGAAGAATGATATGGGCTCAGCATTGCAGGCTTCCGGGGCCCCTATCCCACTGGCTTCTCTCTCCAGTTGTGTTTTCCCACTGCTCTACTACACTACCATTATCTTAGCACTAAAGGCGGCTTCTCTGGCTCCAAACTGTTCTGTTTCTCATCAGTTTCTGATTCACCTCCACTGCCTCCTGCTCCTCCCCTGCCTCAGCACTGCCCACTTTGATGTCCTTTCCCTTCCGCCTGCTGCAGGCCTGCTTCAACCTGCCCCTAAAGCTCCTGCGACACATCCACTCCGGGTGAAGCTGAGGGGGGGGGGGATCGGATCTTTAGTGAGTTCTCACCTCCAGAAATATGCCGGAGTGGCTTGGTAGAAGGCAGGGCCGGTTAGAAAAAGAAGAGAGTCGGCCTTTTGTTTGCAAGTGAAGCCTCCAATCATTCAGAATAATTGCATAATAACTATTTTTGTGTTTACATAGCAGTGCTTTGTGTTTTAGTGGAAAGAAGCAAACAGGCGCGCGGTAAAGAACACAAAGGAACAGAGATCAGCGGCAACTGCTCTCACATGGGCCGAAAGGGACGCACCCTGGAGCCGATTCTTCAAAGTAATGGCCGCATCCAGTCTGGCCGATTTTGGACGTCTTCAGGACACTGTAGAAAAACATCAGGGGCTGCGGCGCACGTGTTAAAGGCGCAGTAGGGAGGCTAAAAGCTGGGATCCATTATATTGCAGACGTCCAGTGGAATGCTGATGCGCCGCGCACCCACTGACCCCTCCACGTCGGCCCACCCTTCACTGTCAGTCCGGGGTTGTGTTTAGGCGGCCAAAGACCAAACGTCAGGCAGGGGATCTCTCCCGCTGCCCGGCCCGTCCCACAACCACGCATTGTCCCATTGCAAATGCACACCTTTCCAGCTCCAGCCCTCCCCCCCCATCCCAAGAGGTCAGAAGGTGAGATGGAGTGGTGGAGCCGAAGGGGGCTCGTAGCGGGGGAAAGAACATTCTGTGCCAGTGAAACGCAGCCCTGGTCTCCTCCTGCTGAGCACAAACAGCCTGCTGAACGGTCGGTGGGACCACGCGGTCTGGAGGTCCTGATTGGCTTTGCGCGGAAGCCAGGAGGCGGGTCACTTCCAGACGGCCCCCAAAAAAAAAAAAAAGGAAAGAGACATGGGATTTGTGAAATGTCACAGTACCATTGGGTTTGGATGTTTCCTCTTGTCTTTTTAAAAATTAAACCTGGACCTTGACTTCTAGAAATGAGTCCTGTCTCAGGGAGATTTAGGGGGCAGATTAATTGTTAACGAGCAAACCTCGTCAGTTGGCAGCGTGACGGGGGGGGGTTCTGCTTTTTAGTGTTGCGGTTGGAAGTTTGAATTGCGATTGTCTGACAGGCAGTCAGTTGAACCAGGTCTCGCTGTCCTCTGTGCCGTCATCCTGTAAACACCGCATAATTTCCCTACAAGCTCCACTTTGTTTGGTTCTTGTTTAAACACTGCCTCGGGCTAACGTAAGCAGATGACATAATCAAAAGGTTTATTAGTTCATCCAGTTGTTGCTGCCTTAGATATCCCGGTCCCTTTCTTTACAGCTTACCAAAAACACACGCACACACAAAGGATTTTCCACAGTGACACACACACACACACACACAGGGCTGTCCATAGTCGGCTTGAGCTGGCCTGCTTATGTGGAACCAGAGAGTTACCGGCAGCTGAGGCTGGTGGAAAGCTCACCTGTGTGGTAAAGGCGTCAGCGTTTACCGCCACCCTGCTTCATTTAAATTCCTCTGCTGCAGAGAGAGAGAGAGGGGGCCATCAAAAGGTGTGGTTCCACATCTGTTAGCGCTGCCGGTTTTTTTTTTTCTTTTTTCCCCCCTTCTTCAGAACCTCAATCAGTTTTTCCCTGCCCAACAGTTACAATATCCTCCAGTTTAAAGGGACACCACAGCAACCAGAGGAGTTATTTGCGGCCGCGTGCGTCGGAAAACCTGGAGCGGAGACGCTTTTTTAATCTGGGCCGAACCTCAGCGGGGTTTCATCCCCGACTTTTCCAAGAGCTGCTTCCTTTTGTCTGTTGGACGTGGGCCTCTGTGCTTCATTTGTATTATTTTACACAAAAGAAACAAGAGTATTGTTTTTGTTGTTTGGATCTGAGGCAGCCTGCTCGTCCACCATGAGAGGCTCTTGACGTTTCACAAGCTCCAGTGAAGGACGCGGTGTGTTTGCTTGCGTATGCGGCGTCAGTCATTTTCCGTAAATGTGAATTATTTGCTGGGGCCCCGGGCCAGTCGTGTCATGGCAAAGGTTTATCCAAGCTGACGACGCAATGGTTGATTTATTTGTTATCGTTTGTGTTTGCTCAAGTCGTGACAGGAAGTTTGTTTCTTTCTGGGTGCTAGATGTATAATTGAAATCACAAGAATGGGGATTTGAAGCCATTTCTAAGTTATCAACTCACAACCATATTTCTTTTATTGGAAAAATTCTTTTCTGAACTTGTTTTGTGGTCAGTATGAACATTCTTTGTTAAATTTTCACTCCAGACCAAGGTCACATATTCAGAGGTCTGCTTTTATCTGTCCAAGTATTTAGAAAAAAACCCTCCTCTTATTCTCTTTAGAATGAAGACACCTGAAAAATGTCAGTTTCCCTAAAGGTGCTGAAACTGATGAGCATTTTTTCCCCAGTAACTTTCAAAATCGCTCCACTTTGCTGCAGTAAAGCACATGTCAAACACTGAGTTGTGCTCTGTGATCTCACTCATAGTGCATTGTCAGAATGGGCAGTTGTTTAAAAGGAACACTTTTTTCCCCCTCACTTTATAGGTTTATTCCATCGTTTCTGGCATTCACTCTCCAATGAGACTGTGTCAAAGCTTTCCACAACAAGAAGGAAAAGTCTAATAGTATGTGATTGTAAACGGAGCGGCATGCACTGAACTTACTGATTTTTAAGTGATGACTCCTTCTCCCCTTTCCTCAGAAAGAATGAAAACCAAATGTTTTGTCTTTCCAATTTTGTTTCTAAAAGTAACCATGTGATTCCTCAAACAGTTCTTTTCTTTCCATATGGCTGGCACAGATCAGAAGGGGAAGATCTTGTTTTTGACGTTCTTTCTGGGAGCACTAATAGACTGACTGGATGGCCATGAATGAATCAGTTTTCCCTCCTTTGCGCTGTGCTCAAACATCTTAGTAGTTCGAGTCTCCTAAAGGAGAAAGTTTTAAGTCTGCACACGTCATAAGATGCCCTCTCTGTCCCCGTTTTATCACCAGAGTGCCCAGAGAGGTGTGGACGGCGGGCGTGCACCACGGACGGCGAGTGCTGCCACCCTCAATGCCTGGGCAGCTGCACGCTTCCGGGCAGCGACTCTGCCTGCGCCGCATGCATGCACTACTACCACCAAGGGCGCTGCGTGGCGGACTGCCCCCCGGGCACCTACAGGTTTGAGGGCTGGCGTTGCATCAGCGCCAAACTTTGCTCCAAGGTCCATCTCCCAGACTACGACACCTTCGTCATCCACGGAGGGGAGTGCATGCCCGAGTGCCCCTCTGGGTACACAAGATCTACCCCAAACAGGTGAGTTTGCCAACAGCATGGGTTCTTAAGCATCCACTGACTTTTTTTTTTTCCCCATCAATCACGAGTTACACTGTAAGTCGGCCGTATGGTTAACAACAGTTTTACATCAGTGTTGTGCTGTCAAAGTTGGACTGGGTCGATGCTTTGAACCCTCCAAAGCAAACGTAGTCGAATTAAAGTAAATCATTCAGCTATTGTTTTTGTGCTAAAATAACAATAACAAATGCAGATTTTACTTCCACGATGCAGCTGCTCCTTGGTAGAAAATAGAAAGTCAGCGGAGGTGCTAAAAGTCGAGGCCAAACAAATGTCTGTCAGTAAAACAACACTGAACATTTCCTGTCTCCTTCCTCTCCCCCCCTGTCTGTCCGACTCCAGCATGCACTGTACAGCCTGCGATGGTCTGTGTGATAAAGAGTGTGAGGGGAAGGTCATTGACTCCATGGATGCGGCTCAGTCTCTCAAAGGCTGCACCGTTATCAAAGGCAACCTACATATCAACATCCGCAGAGGCCGTAAGTACCGCAGTGTACCACAGCAGCCCCACTCTGAGTATCCTCCGAAAAACACTGAGAAGTTTCTTGATTTTGATAAAGCCCGTCGGCCACATACTGTTGAAGCTGGTCACGAAAAGGAGCCAGATTGTGTCACATTGGGACACCCTCTGGAGACTCCAGAAAGTGTGAATTAAAAATGACTATTTGTATTGAAAAGAATATAAGACAGGATGAAAAATTGCAAGATTATCCTGAATATTTTTCCAGGACACTTTCTGTGTTGTTTTCTTGTGTAAAGCTGACCTCTCTCTCTCTCTCGCTCACTCTCTGACTCTCTGTCTGTGCTTTCAGAAAACATGGTGGCGGAGCTGGAGAGTTTCACCGGTCTGATCCAGAAGGTGACGGGTTACGTTCGGATCACGCACTCGCACACCCTGAGCTCCCTGGCCTTCCTCCGGAGCCTCAGATACATCTATGGAGAAAAGCTTCTGGAAGAGTACGTTCGCACACTCGCTTACTCACAAAAGCGTCAACAAGTTCCGAATTTGACTGCAGACGAGACAAAGATGTCGCTCCGCCGTTTCAACCTGCTCTTAATAGTTTCACTATTACAAATTTAAAAGTAGTTTATTTTACGAGATGCTGCTAAACAAATGTAATCACCTGAGCTGTGTATGTGGGTGAGTTTTAGGATTACATGGAAGGATTTAATGATTTAGAAACTGCCTTTTCCTTTGAGAGGCATAGTCATTTTGAGCTTCGACTGCATTTAGGGCGCCTTGTACAAAAAGTGGAGCTGTCTTGTTATAAAAGACCAATTTACAGTCACACCAGCCTCCTGATTTAAGATTGGATCTTTGGATTAGCTTGGCTCTGTGTTGCATATGAAAACATTGTTTATTGCTTTTGAAAACCACAGTAGGTTTTAACCTGTTTTTTTTTTAAGGAACCCTTGATAAGCCGCCCAGTCCACTGGAGTCAGGAAATCACCGTGTGTACAGATTTGCGAATATTTAGGCTTTCTCGCACATTTCCTGTGTTCACATAAACACAAGAGCCAGATGCTTATATGCATGTAAACACAAAGAGAGGCTGCTGACTGCTCAACTGAAGTCGCAGAAAGACTGCCACTGGAAGCAATCAAACTGTATTCAGTCATTTGAATTAAGTGTATAAAAAAAGCAGGAACAGCCTGACTGATTGTGGAATCTGCAGTTTCTGTGGACATTACTTGGATAGGATCTAACGTTTTTTTTTCTGTGGCAGTTTACTGTCCCGATATCTGTGGATCTGTCCTCACCCCTTCTTTCTTTGCTTAATCTGTAACAAGTGTGAGGAAACTTACTTAACCCTCATATTTCTAGCAGAGTACAGCCAATGGCAGATGGAGCAGACACAGACCTTGAATGCAGCCTAACCTCAGGAAAGGCTCTCTCAGGGTCTTGCAAAGGCCTTCACTCCCTCTTTCAACTGTTTGTCTTTGAGTTCACGGGAGTCTAACTGTCCCAAGGCCCACATTACAATCATTCCTTGATGTCTGGGTGTTACCCAGTGACTCATAAAAAAAATAAGAAAACTTCTCAGTACAAAAAGCAGTCCCATGTTAATCGGATTTGCCAGGTGATTTTTTTTATCCAGCTTCCGAGAAGTCTCTCTGCTGTCCCAACTGTAAGATTTACCTGCTAGCCGAAAAAAGAGAGCCACAAAAAAAAAAAAAAAAAGAGGTCTGCTCTCCGTCTGGCATGAATCACAGCGCGCTCCATCCACTGACAGAGAAAAGAACTCTACAGGACTACACTGTTGTTCATTCATCGCATCGTTTCCTTCTCCTCAACAGCATGTATGCCTTCTCAGCGTATGACAACCAGCAACTCCAGTACCTTTGGGACTGGAAGCAGCACAATCTCACCATAAGAAACGGAAAGCTGTTCTTCAGGGCCAACCCGAAGCTCTGCGTGTCCGAGATCCACAAGATGTGGGACAAGACGGGCATCAGGGGCCGCTTCGATGAGACGGACTTCCGCAACAACGGCGACAGAGCCAGCTGTAAGGGTCAAAAACGGCATTTAAACTGCCATGTCCGGCATATGCACAGGGGTCGCTTTAATTTAGGAGCAGTTTGCAAACACTTCCTCTGAGCCTCCTGCTCCTCTGCACCATATGTCAGTATTTACTGCATCACACTTTCAACAAGACTAATTGCCGCCTGTTATAGCACACACACATTGAACTACTTTAGAGGCACCCGTTCACGTGTCTCCCTGCCGCCCCCCGTAGGTGAGAGCACCATCCTGCAGTTCAAGACCAACAGCACCAGCAGCACAAGGATCAAGCTGACATGGCAGCGCTACCGACCCCCCGACTACAGAGACCTCATCAGCTTTATCGTCTACTACAAGGAGGCGTAAGTTTGTCTCACCTCGAGGGTTGCCACTGCCTTTCCCTGCCTGAGATGGCAGCTCAGACTTCCCTGTCTTTGCTTGTTAGTCAGCTTCTTTTAAGGCAATAATCAGTGCATCACACCTGGATTGCTATCTTTAAATGTATGAACAGCAGGTTTGCTGTCTAATCTCATACTCTATCCACAACTTTTACATAGAGACCATGTGTGAAAAGAAAAAAGAATACTCTAAATAGCCTTTTTTCTTTTTTTTTTCCTTCAGTGATAAATGTTAGATAGACTTAAATGTCTAAATATTCAGTTTTTTATTTCTTAAACTCAACACAACAGCCTTTAAGCAAACGCCACCCCTCTTCTCTTTCAGGCCATTCCAGAACATCACAGAGTTCGAGGGCCAGGATGGCTGCGGCTCAAACAGCTGGAACATGGTGGACGTGGAGCTGAGTCCGGACAGAGACTTGGACCCTGGAGTCCTGCTCTCGGGCTTGAAACCTTGGACGCAGTACGCCATCTTTGTCAAAGCTATCACACTCATGGTGGAAGACAAACATATGCCCGGCGCAAAAAGCAAAGTGGTGTACATCCGCACCACCGCCTCAGGTGAGCGTGAGCGAGGCACCTTTTTTCTGTGCCATTGCATGATTAGTACAGTCAGAAGGAGCACAGGTTTCCACCAAAAAAGTTTGATGTCTTTTTCACATTTTAAGACACCTGTTATAAAGTAACTTTATAGCGCATGGTCAGTCGCAAACATTTCTGATTCCGATATTTATTATTATGCAGGAAAAGTCCACTTAGTTTCATGCAGACTTAAAATTTACCTTCCACCTTTAAAAAAAAAAAAAAATCTTCCCGCTATAGCTGTGTCTCCCCACGTTTCTGTAATTATATTGTGACCAACCGCACACACAGCTTCGTCTGACTGACATCCTTCAGTCTTTCATATTATCTTACTTTTAGTTCAGTCGCCTGAGTCATTACTAGCTCCTAGTGGCAAACACTGATTATAGCATTATATCCTTTGATCATTAATGAATTTAGAGTAGCACGGCACACCTAAATGACCGCATGATGCCATCCGTAATATTAAGCGGAATCTTTGTAAAAAGAAAAAGAAAAAAGCACAAAAACGAGCTGAATTCCAGTCACACCCAAATTCACATGTTTGATATTAATATTCTCAACTTGCTGGAAGGTAAATACTGTCTCCTTTTGGGATAACGTCTCCATTGCACTATTATAGCGTTTCTGGATCCATTTATTTTGAAGTAAACAAAAGCTGCAACTCAAAGACACTGATGAAGGCTGATTTACAAACACTGTAATGTAATTAGATGAAGCGGAGGACTGCGTTAATTGAATCCAGCCACAGCGTAAAGACATCGCGGTGCTGTGAGGTCAGGGAAACACAGCTGCACTGGCAGACGGAGCGTCCCGGCCCCAAAGAGAGCGCTTTCCCAGCCATCCCTTGACTTTTGTCTCCGTTTCCCAGCGCCCTCCATGCCTCAGGATGTGCGAGCGTACTCCAACTCCTCAACTCAGCTGGTGGTACGCTGGTCACCCCCCATCTCACCCAACGGCAACCAGACTTATTACTTAGTGAGATGGCAGCAACAAGCTGAAGACCGAGAGCTTTACCAGCACAACTACTGCTCCAAAGGTATGGGACCACTCGGTCACACACTTCCAAAAACCATTCCCTGTCATTCAGTCCAACGCACTGAACAGCCCTCCCTTCTTCCGACAGAGCTGAAAATCCCCAGAAGGATCGCTGCCGTTGGTGTTGGAGACCAAGAGGAGGACACAAAGCCCACCAAACCCGATTCTGACGGGGCAGATAAGGGCCCCTGTTGCCCATGCCCCAAATCGGTGGAGGACCTGGAGGCTGAAGCCGCTGATGCCTCCTACAGAAAAGTCTTTGAAAACTTTCTGCACAACTCCATTTTTACCCCGAGGTATAAAGCCCCACCACCAAATAGTTTTTCTCTCAAGCATTGTCTGTGCCTTCGATGGGTTCACCGTGGGCATTGTTAAAGTTGTAATGGAGTCCCTGATTATTGTATCCTTCCCGCTTTCCTCTTAATCTTGTTCGGGCTGCCGTCCTATTGGAACCAGCTTCCTGCCTTGAACCTCAGACATCTGCATCACATTATCTCTCTCGGTCTCTTCGCGTACGCACAACATCCCAGCCCCAGCTAATGTAAACTAGTTCTCAGGATGTTTTGCCGAAATAGGAGAAAGGACTGGATGTACTTACTTCTAAAGATTAACCTCAGGTGTTCCAGATCTTCCGGTCCCTCTTCAGCTTTATTCCGCTTCCCTACACACACGCTCCCCGGGAAATCAGCCTGCATCTCTAAAAACTTAATGGCTGTTTGACAACTTTTGGATCGAAAACATTTTTATCATTTGCATTAAAAAAAGGTACAAATAAGAGTGAAAAGTAAAAAGGGGTTACAAAGTGTGCTCAGTATACATAGTAAGTAAAGTAAAGCATCTCATTTGTAATCTTTCATGGAACTCATGGTTTGGTGTATCATGCAGTGTAGTTTGAAGGGGGGTATTTTTTCCCTTCTTTCTGCAATTTTCAACTGTCTTCCTTCCCCCGTCTGCATCTGTGGTCATGTCATCACCACCTAGGCCGGACCGGCGGCGCAGAGATCTTTTCGGCGTGGCCAACTCCACCCAGCGCCACCGCCAGCACGCCAACAGCAGCGCCGCCCCCCCGCTCCAGGGCACCAACGCCAACGGCACGGCCGCCGACCAGGAGCCGGCCGACCGAGAGTTCCACTTTCTGGAGCAGTCGGTGATGGAGCGCGAGCTGCAGATCTCCGGGCTGAAGCCCTTCACCGTCTACCGCATCGACATCCACGCGTGCAACCGGCAGGTGTGGCGCTGCAGCGCGGCCGAGTTCGTCTTCTCCAGGACCAAACCCGCAGGTCAGAACACGACGAGCGGACGAGCGAGGGGCAGCCGACGGGTCGGCGCAGACAGCGTTCGCCGTAACCTTTTCTTCTCCCTGGCTGTCCAGACAAGGCCGACGACATCCCCGGGCCGGTGACCTGGGAGGGCCACGAGGACTGGGTGTTCCTGCGCTGGCCACAGCCGCCCCACCCCAACGGGCTCATCCTCATGTACGAGATCAAGTTCAAACTGGCCGCTGAGGTAGGACCATGTCAGCACACCTCACTTTTAAAAAAAATGTATAAATATTTTTTTTAGTCGTTTTGAATAGTTTTGCTTGGGTCGAAGAGCTCATGTTCGGAAACATGAACACTTGCCACTCTTCTGCTCCGGCAGCCAGATATGAGACGATTATTTATCAGCACTGAGGCAAAGAGGGTCTGGCTCAGTAAAGTTGAAAACTACAAATAAAAACAGGAGGCCCACAGTTGTTGAAATGCAATGTTTTTTTTCTTTTCTGTTTTCATCAGACTGAGAAGCACGAGTGCGTATCGAGGCAGACTTATCGGACCCAGCATGGCGTTCGGCTGGCCAACCTCAGTCCAGGAAACTACTCGGTCAGAGTGAGGGCCACGTCGCTGGCGGGCAACGGATCCTGGACGCACACCGTGGATCTCTACGTGGCCGAAAGTAAGACGCACGCTCACCGGCGTTGGTTAAAGCCGTTTGCGTGTTGTGCATTTTGTGCATCGTTGTGTGACTGATGAAACCATTTGCCTTGACAGGATACGAAAATGTCCTCTACGTGATGATCTTCGTTCCCATCGCCATCGTCATCCTAATCTGCTTTCTGGTCGCCATGCTGGTCATTGTCAACAAGAAGAGGTGCGTGTGCCAAGACTAACAGACAGATTTGTCCACCCCAAGTAACAAAAGCACAACGCCTTTTACTTATTTGAATTACTTATTCAATTATTTATTTCTTTATATCACAGGAACAGCGACAGGCTTGGAAACGGAGTCCTGTATGCCTCAGTCAATCCAGAATACTTCAGCGCTGCAGAAAGTTAGTGACGCGTGTGTGTGTGTGTGTGACCCATGAGTGCAAAAACCCATCAATGTAAAAAAAATTTAAAAAACGCAAATTAACATAACAATTTTTTTTTCTGAAGTGTATGTACCTGATGAGTGGGAGGTTGCTCGGGAGAAGATCTCCCTGAGCCGGGAACTGGGCCAGGGGTCCTTCGGCATGGTGTACGAGGGCATGGCGAAGGGCGTGGTCAAAGACGAGCCGGAGACGCGCGTCGCCATCAAGACCGTCAACGAGTCGGCCAGCATGAGGGAGCGGATCGAGTTTCTAAACGAAGCCTCCGTCATGAAGGAGTTTAACTGCCACCATGTGGTGCGTACAGGGGCATATTTGCATGGTTGATGTGGGCTTGGGCCGACTTCAGCACTGTAACGAGCAGCAATCGGGAGCACGCGTCAGTCGGTCAGTGATCGGTCTCCCCTGTTGCAGGTTCGTCTCCTGGGAGTGGTCTCTCAGGGCCAGCCCACCTTGGTCATCATGGAGCTGATGACCAGAGGAGACCTGAAGAGTTACTTGCGCTCACTGCGGCCTAAAGAGGTAAGCGGATGGTTGTCCTGCACTTCGCAGAAAGCAGGGGCGGAACAACATTTCAGACAGGAAGTATGAAGGATTTTGAGATTTTTTAATTTTTAGTCCGCTTTGAAGCTTTTTTTTAAGTAGATGGCTTAGCTAAAGACACAGGAAACGCTATCTAGTCTTTCAGCGTGACCTCACATTTGCACATGCACTCAGTTTGTTATGGCGGCTTGTCGACAGGTTCGACAGCTGTTGTGTGGATTACAAGACCACAGTGTTGTGTTAACAGACGAGGAACAAAGCCACAGACTTTGGTGCAAGCGCTGTCATTTTGCCTCCCGTCTGATCTCACTTCTCTGTCTTTGGGCGCGCGCAGCAGCAGTGGTCCAGCCTGTCTCTCCCGCCCCTGAAGAAGATGCTGCAGATGGCCGGGCAAATCGCGGACGGGATGGCATATCTCAACGCCAACAAGTTCGTGCACAGGGATCTGGCGGCCAGGAACTGCATGGTGGCCGAGGACTTCACTGTCAAAATAGGAGGTAAAGGAGCGAGCCAGAGGTCTCGGGGAGCTGGCAGCCTGTCAATTAAGTCTAAACGGCACCGCGAAGCTCCCAAATCATCAGCGCAGCTTTAATCCCAATTAAGGGAACCCTCAAGGCAGAGCAGCGTTGTGGTGTCGACATGTTTTCACTAACGAATTCAGCACCGACCTTTTCACCGCGGGCGTGCTGCAAGCTGATAGTACCAGATTAGAGCTCTGTGAGAACTGCGGGACCTCTCAAGGCTTGAAAATATCTACACGTCAACCAGGAAAACTGCATCTATAAAAAACAAAAAAAACAAAAAAGAGAGAGCTCGGGTTTAAGAGCTCTGCATTTTTTCCATGCTTATAAAACTGGTGCAGCGGGGAGATTATGGTTAATGTACTCTTTCTGGGGTGCGATCACACAGAAAGAGGCTTCCCTGTGCAGCGCCTGAAGAAATGCTCACTTTGTTCTTGGCTCACTGCACTCATTCTTGTGTGTGTGTGTGTGTGCGTGTGGGGACAGATTTTGGCATGACCAGAGACATCTATGAGACGGACTACTATCGGAAGGGGGGTAAAGGCTTGCTCCCCGTCCGCTGGATGTCACCCGAGTCTCTGAAGGACGGCGTCTTCACCACGAACTCTGACGTCTGGTAGGCAGGCGTCGACAGAAACACACACGGCCCACATCAAATGGCCCGATGATAACGGAAGACACACTTCTTTCCTCTTGCCTAGGTCGTTCGGGGTCGTGTTGTGGGAGATTGCCACCCTGGCTGAGCAGCCCTACCAAGGTCTGTCAAACGAGCAAGTCCTTCGCTTCGTTATGGAGGGGGGACTGCTGGAGAAGCCTCAGAACTGCCCGGACATGCTGTAAGACGCCTGCCTTTCCCACGTTTCTCTCCCCTCAGAGCCGCTCGCCGCCTGCAATCCATGGGCTTTGTAAATGCATCAAGCCCTGCAGTGCTCTGCGCATTCGCAGCTTGTTTGAGTTTCCACCGTGTTCTGCAATGTGCTTGTTCTTAATTAGAAGCAGCCCGCACATAAATCCACATCAAAAGAGTTGTAAGCGTGACAGACAAATTTGGCGACAAGCGAAAAGACACTTTGGATGCATCAGATGACTTTAGTCATGAGGATAGCAAATGTGAAGTTGCAGGGTTTGCTCTCTCCAACAGCAGCTATTTATTAGTATTATTAAGCCTATGAGTACAAATACGAGTAGGTTTTGTTATTAACCTCAGTGTGCTTATAATGTGTTATGAGGCCTCACTGGCGGCTGCTTTTGAGTTCTATAGAACTTTTACAGTAACTGATATCACCAAACACCAGCAGGATGTTTTTATTAATGCATGCAAGTCTGCGTTTAGCCAAAAGATGATACCACTCTCATATTCATGCTCTGGCTGCACATCTAACTGTTATTGTATCTTAGGTCAAAGCCTGGAACACAGACAGCTCTTAAACATTTTTTTTTATATTTAGCATCCCCAACTAAGCCTAATCACCCCTCAGACAATTCAGACCTGTTGCTCCACATAGACATGTGAAAAAGGTTTTATTCACTTTGTTCGATCCCTTATGCACATACAATTCACAAACAATCTTACAGGTCGTATCCATGGAGAAGTTAAAGGCTTTTGCAGAAAACCAGTAGTTTCTGTCAGTACATGCCTGTTTATATTAGACCATAAGACAAAAATTATATTTCATGTGTGACATCACTTGTTTTACTGGAAGATTGAACCCAAAACTCTGAATGTACCTTTTTCCAGCCTGGTTAGAATTACCAAGTGGATGTCACTGGATGAAAAGGGAGCCCTTTTCATGACACCGAAAGATTCCACTCAACATGCCTCGCCACGCCATACTCTTCACAGTGCACAGCTAGAGACAGCTAGCCTGGCTTGGCACATGTTGAAACAGTATCTTCCCTGGTTGGAAAATAAGCACATTATTACCAAAAGCTGCTCTTCATTACACGGCTTCTAGAGGCCGACTCCAATTTGGCTAAATCCCCTCATACCCCCCCCAAAGTTAAAGCATCCAACAATGACTAGCAATGGAAATCAGCACATGTTTGTCTGTTCAACCAAATCACCCCTCAGGAAAAAGCGTTCAAAGGCTTCGTATTTATTACTCATCCATAAATGCAAGTAAAAGCCCCCACTTTGAATGGCAGACACGTGTGACACAAACAGATGTTCAGTTGCAATATGTTCCGCGGTAATTGGAACCAAAACGTCCTACTATTTATGACCATAATTGATTTGCGTGGTGAAGAAGGACATGCCATGCCTGTAGTGGGATGAGGGGGCCCTGAACCTTTGGGCAGAGTTGGTCTTGGTTCCCCTTGTTTCTGCTTAGCTCAGGCAGGGGGTCATGGAGGGTGGGGGAGTCGTATGGCTGTTTTAGCAACAGAAAGTAAACATTTGGTTAAAGTAAATATTGGCTTCCCTGTGGGGAAAGCACAGTTCCTCTGGGGAGACATTACTACATGAGGATTGAGCTTAATGGCCATGGTGTGCATGGTCTGTGTTTGCAGGTTCGAGCTGATGCGAATGTGCTGGCAGTACAATCCCAAAATGCGCCCGGCCTTCGTGGAGATCATCAGCAGCGTGAAGGACGAGCTGGAGCCGTCTTTCAGAGAGGCCAGCTTCTACTACAGTCCCGACAACAAGCCGGCAGAAACGCCACAGCTCAACCTGGACAAGCTGAACCCCACGGAGGACGTAAGTCTGGATGCCGCGTCCGCCACACAGCAAACCCCCCAACACACCCCGCCTTCCCCGCAGTCAGAGGCCCCCCCCGCCCCGTCAGTAGCGCCCAGCTCCCCTTCGTCTCCCTGCACGTCCAGTGCCGTCATGGACAAGCAGCCCCCCAGCCAGCAGGCGGCCAATGGGCTCTCGGGGGCGGGACTTCCAGCAGGCTCGGCGCTGGGCTCCGGCCCGGGCGTCACGGTGCGGCCGTCTCTGGACGAACTTCCGCCGTACGCGCACATGAACGGGGGGCGCAAAAACGAGCGCGCCATGCCTCTCCCGCAGTCCTCTGCCTGCTGATTGGACAGACCCCCATCCACCACCACCCAAACACCACCACCAGACTGCAAACCCCGCCTCCCACCTACTGCCCTGAAGAACCACATGTCTCAGTGGGTGGGAACCTTTTTTTGTTTTTTTTCTTTGTCGTCGTCTTCTTCTAATTTGGTCAAATACAGCAAAACCTGCTCCGCCACATGGATGTCGCTACTAAGTGGCAAAGACTAATATGAAGGTGGAGAGAACTTTTTTTTTTTTTCTCCGAGTCCACATGCTGCTGTATCTCCACACATATATTTTTTTTTCATATTATCTCTAGTTTCAGTTTCTACCAGCTGGCTGTCAAATGTGACACTGCCCCTGCTGCTGAGTGGGAAGACCAAAAATGAACACACATACACCACAAAAAAAAAAAGAAAAAAAAAAGGGGAAAAAATGCATAACAGAAACAGATCGCACCATCTGGAGGAGCTCATTCTCTGTCTTTTATGGCTGAGCTTCTTTTATAAAATGTTGTTTGTTACTTTTTTTTATGTGACTCCGAATGGGAAGGGGGTGGGGGTGGGGTGGGGCGGGGGACGTGTCGGCCTTTGGAAACGATCGGCGTTGTGTTCGCTTTTGAAAGGGCATTATGGTGAAAAGTGATAAGCATATCTAATGAAGCGGATGCACTTAAAGGAGGTCTCTCTCAGCCAGTCGTTGGTGGGGCCGCTCTGCAGTTGAGATGTAAGCGCAATGCCGGCACGCCAGCCAATCCGCTGACAACAACTGACCAGCGGGAGAAAGGTCAGCTCTGCCAAATTCATTGCCAAAATGTTACTGTTTTCAGATTCTCTATCCCCAGTTTTTCTCTCTGAACACGCCACCGTCAGAATGCTAACAAAAGCAAACAAAAGCCCTTCCATCTGCCACTACACGGTTGTTTCAGTGATCAGAGGGAGCATAGAATTCCACTCCACAGTCCAACACTTCACCTCAACTGCTGGTTACTATCTAAAGGCTTTTTTCTTCTCTCTCTCTCTCTATGAAATCGCTGCGTAAACTTTGATCTCATTATCTGAAATTGAGCCACTTCTCCTCACAAAGTGCTGTTATGTTTAGGTTAAAATGCCAAAAAAAATCAAAAATAAAAAGACAAAAAGACAAAAGTCAAAGCAAGGACTGCAGAGGAAAGAGCTCGAAGAGGAAAAACAAATATGAACACACGATCTGCAATGTCTCGGCGGGAGATCAGAGGCATCCTTGTTGTAAACAAACAGGTATTTTTTTAGACTGGTCTGTACTCTAAAACATTTAAGACATCTCTACATGGGCAGAGCATTTATGTACACACCATTTGTTTGACACTTTTTCTAACTTTTCTACAGTTGGAGACTTTCATCATGTACAGAAAGAAGCTGCTATTCCTTATTTCTCTTGTGGTTGTAATATAGTTGATATCTATATATTGAAAAGAGGGGGGGGGGGATCTCCCTTCAGGTTGAATTCAGCTTGAAATGTTTCCACTACAGTTCATTTTTAAAGAAAAAAAAAGCTTGTTATTGTGTAAAGTGTATCTGAGCTGGTTTTGTTTCTGTGAGTGCGTAAAAGGTACGACAATTTGCCTTGTGTTTCGAGACACCGGTAACTTCCCCGCATCTGACTGAAAGACGGCGATGGTGCCAGTGACCATTAGTGTCCTCTTCGGATGCTTTGATATCTGTCCTTTTAAAGTTAGGACGATACGACCTCTTTCTTCATTCAGAGGCCTAGTGTCCAAACTAAATCTCAGGTCAAAGAGAAAAGTTAAATCCTTTTCTGCTATTTTTCTTTCCTACTTTTTGGGGGATTTATCCCAGAGACACCTAGTCTGTTTTGTGTTTAAACCTCTAACTTTGTAAAGTATGATTTTCCCCTCACCCCTTGCTATTTCTTTCTTCATTCTTTTTTATTTAATTTTATGAGGTGTTTATCCAGGTCTAAAGTGGTCTCCATTTTTCCATGAGTTCTTGTACTTGTATGGCTCCCCATTGCTGACGGTATATTCACAGAATACAAATTAGTATTATGTAAAGTGATGGTATTCAGAATTATCCTAAAATATTTCAGTTTGACAGTTTCTCACAGTTTACTTTTTGATATATGTTTTACAATTGGTTGTTTGCTTGTTTTTGGTTTTATTTTTCAACTCTTTAGTCATTTTTGGGTAAAGCCCACATTCCACCATTTCTGCTCTCCAGTTTAATAAATCCATATTTCCATTTTTTTGCCAGCGTCATAGGGTGGTAAATACTACACCATGGTGAATATCAATACTCACACCCTGTGCTAAAAATTGCTTTCAAATATTTTTTCTATCTTAAATACTTGGAACAGTAGCTACATTTTAGCTAGTAATGATAATGATACCAGGGTTTGCAAAAATTAAGTATAACTAAGACCCAGCACTTTTTTCTCTACTACTGGTGAACAGACAGATATTTCTCAAAGAAAGAGAAAAATCTCTGAACCCGTTTAGTTGGGTTAACTGGGTAACTTCTGTCACTCATGTCACTTAAGCACAAAGAACCTGGACATGTAAGTACTCCCTATCGCTACTCTACACCCACATGAATATATCCTCGTCGCAAAAGCATTTGAAAAAGAGGAAATGTCGACAATGCAGAGCAGATATGTGTGAAAATGTGAGCCTTTTCTCAAAAATGAAGTTGAAAAATAAAATTGGCCAGATAAATGTAAGGATATGTCATCATACTGTTCTACGCCAATTCTATTTGACATTTGACCATTTTCTGACAACTCTTTGCTACATTTTGTCAGCTTGAGGGTTCCATGTGCTTGAATAGGGCCTGCTTGGTTCAAGGCATGCTTAGAAAATGCACAATAGAATTTATTTTAATGTAGCAAGGAGCCCGATTTACTCTTTGGTCATTTCACTTGATATCAACTCCTCTTGAATTAAAGGTGGCTTTAGGCACATTGGCAACGGAGCTACCATTATTTCTCGTTTTTCATGTTCAGACACCTCTTTGTAAGACTTCTGAAAGTAAACTGGAAATGACTGAGTAGTAAGGGAAATTGCCTTAGTTACTTTTTGATTTTTATTTAAAATGCTTTTGCAACATTAATATGTCTTGAGTGACACTAAAAGGATTCCTTAGAGGAGGACATTTTTAGGCCTTTGGAGAACATCACATGTAGACTTTTGGTCAAAGAGCTAACTGTAACTGGAGATCCACATCTGAGTGACAAACTGCTTTATTGAGGTTTAATGAGAAAAGTCACCAGATGAGCATTTGAACTGGCTATAGTCAGTGATTCCAGATGGAATACATTTGAAAAGTTTATTTGCCTCATAAAGTTTGATTCCCTTGCCAGATACTTCTTTGTTATTTATTTTCTTTTTTGTGAAGTGTAAATCACTGTATAAATCTCCCCATTTTATTATTTCTTTTTCTCCCCCTCTGATATTTTATGTTATTTTTCTATTCTGGGGGAAGATCTTTTTTTTTTTCTTTCTTTTTTTTCCCCTCAGCCATCCATCTACCTCACTTCTTTCTTTTCCAATCTATTTTACGTGTACAGGAAACAAAACATCTCGTCTCTGTTGTCTGGCTGTAATAATGATCTCACTGGTTGCTGTTTACCATGGTCAAATTCAAACCACAAACCAAACCATCTTTGAAGGCGGGGGTGTCGCGAAGGGCTGTCCCACATCCCATGCTGTCTTTAGAATACTTCACTGTCTGACGTTTTCACCCCTCTTTGCTTCCAGTTCGGGGGTTCGGGGGGGGGGGGGGTTTAAAGGAGCTGCAGAAAGAGCAGATTTCTTTTGTTGCTTTTCCATCCTCCTCACCCCCTGTGTCTGTTTCTGTGTGCTGCTCGTGCACACCACTTTAGGCGTACGCCAACTTGTCCTGCTGCAACAGCCACAGGACAAAACTTGGTATTTATAAAAACCCACATTACTTGTCATATCATAGTTTTAATAATTGGTAGGAAGGCCTATGAGAATGTTTCATGTTAAACCGTTTCTTCGGTTACTGATTAGTTTACCTCCCCCCTGCTTTATTGTATCTTGCTCGAACATTTGACGTTATGAATCTGTCGGCCTTTCTGCTAACGGATGGTTTGGCAGTTTGAGTTGGCGACTCATCGCCACCTTTTGGTATATTTCAAAGGCCTTTTACAGGACCTCTGTCAATCATTTGAAGACACTAAAATACATTTACTCATGTTAGTTATTTTTCCATAAACAAGTTTATTTTCCAAGGTTTTATTTATTTTTTTGGCTAACCACAAAAACTTAGTCTTTTATTTATTTTTTACATCCAGTGCAAAAATTTCTCAGCTTTTCCATCATTTAAGAATATGCCTATTTGGAAGTTGGTGTTCTTCCTGGCAGTTGTAGTCTCTAAAAGGCGACGAGGACTCCTCTGATCAAGTTCAATGATCTCATACTAATAAGATTCTAAGTTCATGGTGGGTATTTCAGCGTTTGTGGTCTGAGTTTTGCCTATTTTTTTTTTTTTACTACTGGAACACCTCACAGAGCAGACATTAAATCAATGAAATACTCCCACCACCCTTTCTTGTTACATTGACAGTCGATTTGTTACTTTTGTGTTGAAGTGTGTAAATTATTCATAGCCTTCCAAGTCTTGCATTTCTGTTGAAATGATCTGTTAGACTGAGGTTTCATTTTTGGTTTTTCTTTTGTACATGCTGTTGTAATAATTTTTCCTGTTATAAATATATTCTGAGTACTGGGAAAAATGTTTGGCTGAAGGATAAGAGAATGTCTATTTCTCTGATTCTTTTTTTTTTCTACACAAGATTTAAGATGAATAAAAAATGTATGCAAACGTTTTTTCTCTTTGTCTTGGTCATGCAGCCTTTATATGAATTCATATATTTACTAAATTAGATTGTATCTTATATTTGTACATTTGCAATTCACACAATAATTTGAAGAGAAAATGATGAAGCCAGTAAGTTTTGAAATACCTGTTGTATGAGAGATACGAGTGTATAATACGATATCAATATAACTGTTTATTTTTACAGGAAGATGTTTACCTGCTGGATATTTTTATTAGATAAAGGGTCCATTTTACCAGCCATCAAATAGCTGCCTACAGTCATCATAAAGTCTTGATTATAGCTCTCCGAATTACATTTATATTTTTATATTTTCACATAACCTTCTACGATTATACTAGAAAAACGTTCAGTCTAATGTGCTACAATGTACAACTATTTTATTTTTAGCTCTTAAAAAGGATCGGGCTCATTTTCATAAGCGCAGCTCAGTTATTTGATCGGCGGCGGCAGCAAAGCTCCAGCACTGCGTGAATTTGGAAAGAGAAGAAGAACTCAACCGGAACACATTCGTGACGTCACTAATTACGACCGATGAGTGTTGCTGGCCCTAGCCTGCTTTAGCTTGGCTATTTTGTGCTTCTAAAGCTGTATTAAGCATGACATGACAGTGCGCGGGAATTATGTTATCCTGCAATGCTCCAACAGAACTAAGGTAAATTTATTTTCGGCGATGTAAAATGTAATATTTCAACAAGTAGCAGTTATGCTAATGCTGCCAACACTAACTAGCTGGAGTAGGAATCGATGCAAAGCGACAGGCTTCGCTTATTTTTTAGGTACGTTTTGTCAGTAACAAAGACGATTCTCTGGGTTATCGGTGACATTATGGTAAATGTAGCTTTATTGTGTCTTTCTTTCTATTAACATACATTGTTGGCGGTAAAAACAACTTTCTCCCCATCATAAGGTTAGACTGCGTTCAGTTGCTTGTCCTCAACATAAAGAGTTTGAGAGTAAACCTTTGAGACAAATCCCAACGTTTTTAACCTTGTGTGTGTTCGTCTGTAAAATTGCAGTTGCTGAAATGTCATCCTTCTGTAACTGTGTTTTCCTGTCAGGAAGCGGTGATGGCATAGAGGACATACGCAGTGCCTAGTCTCCTCCATCGGGGAGGAGAGGTCTCCTTAGAAATGGCGACTGAACTTCACGAGACTATATTCATGGCCAAACAGGAACGCCACAAGAACCTGTTCCTGAACTACAAAAACCTCAATATTTTCCCGGTAGAGCTGCTGAAAGATGAAGGATTGCAGTTTTTGGAAAGACTGTACATGAAGAGAAACTCGCTCACTTCACTGGTACCCAGAAATTTGATTTAACTTCCCCTACCCATGCACGTCAAACTCTTAGTTTAGTTTATTTCCTGTAGGTCTATTAAATATTTCTGCTTTTTCTCTGCTCTTATCAGCCTGACAATCTTGCTCAGAAGCTCCCAAATCTCATTGAGCTGTAAGTATTCTGCTGAGCTGTTTTCAAATCTTTGTGTCATTTCATTGGGACGCTGATGGTTTTAACTATTTTCTCTCATTTTAAACTAAGCTACTTGCACTCAAACAACTTGGTCCTTATTCCTGAAGGTAAGCTCACCTTTTTTTTTCCACATCCCCAGCGCTCATTAGAGCTAAACTTTAATGAACGACTTGCCTGAAGATAAAGAGTGCTGTTGATTTCATTTCCAGCGATCGGAAACCTGGCCAGGCTGCAGTCGTTGGACTTGAGCAATAACGCCCTTCAGCTCCTCTGTCCAGAGATCGGCCGCCTGAGGTCCCTCCGGCATCTGCGACTCTCTAATAACCAGCTTAAATCTCTTCCTCCAGGTGAGAGTTTTGAGTAGAGTTAGAAGTATCAACTGTTGTAAAGTTAAAATGAAACATTGTCCTATGTAGTATCATCCTACAAAGACAGGTCATGTCATAGAAACTTAAAAGATAAATGTACTTCTTGGCATCAGTCTTTAAACGGACATCTTTGCACCCAGTCAGCTATGACTTGCATGTCAAAACACACCCACTGGTGGTGTTTTTTTGTGTTGGACTGTTGCGTTTGAAGGATTTTGTTTGCCAGCAGAGGGCCACAGAGCTCTCCTAACAAAGTGGACGGCAGCTGCGTCAGTCGACAGCATGCCAAGGGAACTGCAACCGTTTTTTTGCTGCTAAATCTCAGGATAATTGGTTATAATGTTTAAATGTTATGCAACATTTTTCAGGCTGAGAGTCAGACAGGACTCTATTTGTCCACAAAAAAAAAAAAAAAGTCTTAGGTTTATTCTTTTCTTTAATGTTTTATTTGCCTGAATTTTCTCCATGAGCGAACACACTAACTCCAGGTGGAATGTCAAGTACAGGCTTCCACATAAAAGGATTTTATCATTTTTTCAAAGGACAAAAAAAAGGTCTAATCTTTCAATGCTTTTGTTTTGGACATGCAGGACGCCTGTTCTGAAATGACCTTTTTATGTCTGTCTGACTCCCGCAGAGATCGGCGACCTGCAGGATTTGGAGACCCTTGATGTGGCGATGAACCAGCTGATGTCTCTGCCAGACCGGCTCCACCGCTGCGTCTCCCTGCAGAACCTGACGCTGGACCACAACATGCTGAGCCACGTTCCCCGCCAGCTCTGCTGGCTGCACCGCCTCAACCAGCTCTCCATGGCCGCCAACCGGCTGATCTTCCTTCCCCTCGGTCGCCGCATGCTTTTTTTTGTAACGCTCTTGTTTTTCTTCCTGTTTGGTGGAAGATATAGTGGTGATAATGTGCATATGTGTGCGCCTGTTTGTTTCAGATCTGGGCAGGTCACGAGAGCTACAGTTTGTCTTTGTGGACAACAATGTGGACCTTAAAGGCCTCCCGTCGTACTTGTATAACAAAGTGATCGGCTGCAGTGGGTAAGAACTCTAATTAGTTTTGTCAAACTGAAGGAGTCTCAGGACTCCATCAGTGTATATGTGTGTGCATAAGGCATGCTTATCCACTTCCCCGCATGCCTGCACCTGGCAAACATTAAATGCTGCGAGAAAGCGATGGAGTCTGGAACAAACTGCACCTGAAGTCATGACGTGTGACGTCCGTGTTTGTGGGGGGGTGCACAGGTGTGGCATGTCCTCTCAGGTGCTGACGGGCGATCTTGGGGAGGTGCTGGGCGAGGTGCTGACTGAGGCTCTGGAGGGGCTGCCAGCAGAGGTGAAGGTAATCGGCTCGGGGGCGGATAATGTAGTTCCCCTGGAGGAGTTGGCTATGAGGACTCTGCACCGCATCTACCGCCACCACCCAGCAGGTGGGAATGGTTTGCACCTTTTTTTTCTCTTCTTTTATTTACCGAGATGGGTCCTAAGTGATCCTAATGGACGACAATCCAGTAGTTTCACAGTTCCGTCCCTGCAATCTTGTGCTTTTAGATCTCAGCTTGATGCCCCCCATCAGCCTCCCAAAGAGCCTGCTGGACCTGCTGCAGTTCCCTCTGGGTCACTGTCACCGATGCAGCCAGGCCATGTTCACCATCGTCTACCCCAAACTCTTCCCCCTCCGCGACACCGCTCTGGCAGGAGTGCACCGCAGGTCAGGAAAGCTTCCCCACTTTTTTCTTTTCTTACATACCTCTTCCCCCTCAACCCCTTACTTCCCTCCCACTGACATTTCTGTTCTTCCCTCCTTAGGACGACTGTGAGTTTTGTGGCCTATTGCTGCTCCAGTCACTGCCTTCGGACCTTTGATCTTCAGGGTTGACGCAGTTTCCGTCCGCCTCCACCCTCTTGGCCCCGTCATCCATCAGCAGGCAGTGAGTAGGGGGTCTTGTGCAGGGCACCTCATCACAATCTGGAAAAGCGCACACAGGCAGATGTTTGTTGGACTGATGACGCTGCTCCTGTGGACTCAAGCCGTCCGTGACGTCCTTAGTAACTACGAGTGAAGGAGTTCACCACTTACTACCAGTATTAGACTTGAAGTCACTAGAAGTAACCTAACTCACAAGCGAGCACTTTGGAAGAGCAAACTCTCTTGATTCTTGTGAAATTTTGGAGTAATTTTTTTTTTTTTTTTCATACAAAGTCCTTGTTGCATTGTGTTAATTTTTGGAGTCATGTATGATGTCTAAACATATTTAACATGGTTGGTTTTTACTGATTCCTAAAGAATATTTAAATCCTTTCATTTTAAGAGTGTCTGTGTGTTTTTATATGTGCCAGCAGGAGCAAGACGCTCCGATAAGACAGGACAATGAATGCTAGAATGTTAGATTTTCGAATACAGAGGAATATTCATTGCGCAATGTTGCATCCAAAATGAAGCTCTGTGAGCGCGTCTAAATGTTTGCCAGCTTCTGTAGTTTTTGCAGGTAGCAGCAGAAGTTCTGATGTCAGTGATGCATTGGGGTTTCAGTTTTTTTAAGTTTTGGAGCAAACTTTAAAAAAAGTTTAAAACGGCTCACTTAAAAAAAATGTACATGATACCAAACGCTTTGTTTTTCAGCTAAAACAATAACCACTTATCTACAGACTCCCTCCACTCTTATGTTGGTTTTCTGTCATCTGAAGTAAAACCAGTGAATCGTTTGGACTGTTTTGTAGAAATGACGCTTGTATGTTGTTCTATGTCTTTCGAGTTGCATTTGGGAGTAAACCTTGGCTGACATCTGACATTGAGTGATTAAAAAAAAAATGGATTTATTTATTTATTTTCCTTAACAGGCTTCAATTCCCAGTAGATCATGCAGTAACTCCAGCTCCGTGGCAAACATCACTTCCTCAGCTGTAATTCTGGCAGTCGCTGCCGTACAACTGTCGGTGTCAGTGGGTCAGGGCAATTGAGCTCCTCAGCTTCCAGTACCATGGATGCTCTCCAAGGACACATCTTGCCAAAAAGCATGCTTTGAAATTGGGTTTAGCAGCAGAGATGGGCCAAACTTGAAGTGTCTTCACTTTTGTCATAGTTGCTTTTATCCATTTTTACAGCGCGTGCACAAAAACACTGATCCTTTCCTGACAAGTTCGCCCATAGACACAAGAATAGCGCATGTGTTGGTCTAATAAAACAAGGATGTGGAGGAGAAAGCAAAGTGCCTCCATTACCTGGATCGATGACATGTAGAGGCAAATATGAAGCCGTGATTATCTCCTGTGGGGGCCTCGGCTCCTTCCCCTCCCTCGGGGAATATCACATCTCAGTTTACTGCACATGTGACACAACACTCATCCCAACCCTGCATCTTGATATAAAAATTAGATCATACAAAGTCAGATTTAAAATAAACATACAAAAAGAAGCTGGAACATCTTCCAAGACATCCAAACCTAAATCATTTGTGAACGTTGCTGACTTCCAGGTAAAAGGGGCTAATTCACAAGAAGGAATCAAATTCCAAGTGGGTTGCAACCTTCAAAACCAAGGAACAATGTTATTTTTAGTTGATGTCAAACATTTTAGAAATGATAAAAGATTAGAGGTCAGTAAATCCGCCATTTAAACAGTTTACTTTGAGCTCTGTGCTCTGTATAGTGCCTCAGGAGAGAAATCGGTACTTATTCAATAAGCGGGGGACGCGTTGTGCTCAAACAGATTGCTATTGAATCATCACACAGGAGCGATCCCCTTATTGGCATGTTCCCTCTACCCCTGTAACGGTACGCTGACATACAGAATGTTAAAAAATGTACTGACAAAGAACAGTGCATGCTCATTTATATTAACGTGCAAGACTGGTTTCATACATAGGGTGATGTACTGATATTCAGTGTTAATTCAGTACTAATTGTGCCATGAGCTGTGGACTGAATGAGATGCAGTGTGATGTAAACTCAGCCAGCATAAAATGAGCTTTTTATTTTTTTTCCCCCCTGCTTTTATTATCTAACAGTTCACTGAGATCAAGTTAAAGATCCTTCTGTTGCTCATCTCTTCAAATGGCACCAGTCATCAAAGGGTCAGTGTATTAAGTGATGGTGCAGGTGGGTGTATGGGAGACCCCCAGAGGCTAGTTTCAACTGACACTTGGAAGAAATTTTAATCGTGTAGAGTGGATGTATTCGAGGAAACCGCAGAGTAGTGTAGGCAGATATTATTTTCGTGTGAGCCACTCTGTCACACTGAATGTTAATGGGGACACCAGATTTCGCCGTTGTCAGTCCTCAGATCATTCGAGTCACACGTTTTTGTTTTCTTTTTTCTTTATTAAAATCTTTGTATGCTTCATTGTGAGTTGAAGAGAAATTTGTTATAAATGGTGTTATTCCCCATGCTGCTGCTTTCAGCTCAATGAACCTGGAAATCATCCTGTCTTTGAAAACAACGCCCCACCTTTTCGCGGCTATCTCTGACGTCAGAGGGCGCGGCCATTTTGTGAGCAGCTTCATATTCACCCGTTGAGGCAGGAAGCTATGACCTCGCCATCAGATTAAAAGCGGTCAGATATCTAATTATTGGTTGGTGTTCTTAACAGATGTATTAACAGTGACCTACAGCTAGAGTTAAAACTATAAATACGTTGATAAAGATTTGCAAATAAAATGTCAAAGGATGCAATTAGAAAAGGGAATGATACAGCCATAATATTTAGGATATTTAAAAAAAAGTCACAAATAATTTTTGTTTTGCTAGCATAGCGAACAACTACTACATTTATTGCAACTATTCGTAATATTTTTTGCTGTAGGCTAAATGTCAAACTAACGGACGAGTCCAAGTTGATTATTTGGATTGTTTGAAGTGAACCGGCGTCTGACGAGGACTCGTATGTCCATTATGTCATTATTCCTCACTTTTACAGTAGGCTCACTCTTTTTACTATGTATTTTTTTTATAATAATAATAAAATTACTTACTAGCTTCGTTAATATTGTAATTACAGTTATAACAGTGAAGGATCTACTTTGTAAAACCTGAACAGGAAGTGAGCGTGTATAAATCCGCGTGACTTTTCCCGCTGGTTGAGGGGAGGGTGGTGAGTTTCCACTGGGGGGGACAGTCCCGTTTACCGGAACGGTGGAGCGGACAGACATCTCCATACTGTTCAAACACAGGGAGAGACGACAGGGAGAAGAAAAGACATAAAAAAGAGCAAAACAGGTGAGTTTAATTAACTTCTTGCTTAGTTCATCTTATTCTTAACAACTTGAAAACAAGATTCAGCAACACCTTTGTGTGGAATTCAAACGTACGTGGCTTTAAAGTTAGACACGGGCCGCTTGTTTTTCACCTTTGAATCCGTGTCGTCCTACTCGGGCTTTCTTTAGCGGTTTTTCCAATTTTCTTGGCATCGTTGGCTAGTTTTTCAAATCTCCAATTGAATAAACTGTTGCTTTCACATGGCAGTCGTCATTTTAGCCGTTCTAACAGTTGAAATGATCGAGTTTTTATACTTTTCTCGTTTGGACTGGAGTTTCCGCCTAAGATTTAATACAAGATTAAAGTAGTTGTTTGTTGTCGGGATTGTACTGAGCGGGTTTAGAGAGCCCTTAAACGAAGTGAGGCAGGTTCAGCACCACGGACAGCTCCGGAGCCAGCGGTAAAACTGCTCTCGCATCCATTAGAAGCCCTTTAAGAGATACTTACAGATTTTTCTTTAGCAAAGTGAGGGGTGCATCGCCCTTCATTTGTGAGGCAAACACAAGATGGACGTAAGCTATATAACGGTGCATGTAACTGGTCCATTTAATGAGGAGCAGTTAGCATTTCAGTTGGGATTGACATCGTTAATGGAATCAGTTGATTGGATGAAGGCTGTTCTGCGGTTTCTTTGGCAATCATGGACGATACATTTCTATAGTGTTGGCAGGAGGATGTTTTTTGGTTCAGATTTACCCCCCAGTGGTTATAATACCGGTACCTCTGGTGATTTGGGGGACAAAGTGTAGGAAGCAGGGGGGGACACTAAAATGTTCAATTTAGTAGGTAGGACAGCCTGATCCCACTGCTTTGGTTAAAGGTTCATTTCACAAAAAAAACTTTGGAAGATGCATTGTTACAAGTGACGTTGTGTGAGGACGGGGTGCCGTGCTGTACAAAGCAATGCAGCCCTCTTTGGAAATTATTCTGTCAACAGTTCTTGTTGTAAAAATAAATTTAGGCATAATTCGGGTTCAAAAGAGCACTATACAAACCCTTGTCCGCTCCTGTTTCCTGTCTTGCCTCCGCTTTTGTGATAATGTCAGTAACGGCAAATAGCTCAGGCTGACTTTTAAACAGGTCACCACGTGTGTGTGTGTATGTCATCTCTGTTAGGCTGGCGTGTATTTGAATTCCAGCAACCAAAGATACTGAGGTTGTTCAGACATTGCTCCAAAGCCAAGCAGAGCATTAGTTGCTCAACTTTTATCGGGTTGGTTCGAGCTGCCAGTGGAACAATTGTTTTCTCCGATGCTCTGCAGCTAAAATGTTATGTTGAACATGAACTCTGGAGGTGCAATAAGCACCTTCCCGGTGATGAAATGGTTCCTGCTGTTACTGGCACTGAGTAGCAACACCCCACCCCCTCCAACCCTCTCCCATCATGCCAACCGAAAAAAAAGTGAGAAATTAACATCAGTCTCCTTCCCAGTCCCACTATGTCTGAGGATACACATACATTATGCACAGGGAACACATTATTCTTCTTGTCTGAGTGCTGCATTCACAGCCTCTATTGTTAACCCTAACGCTTTTCCTGTGAGGTTCGGGCAAGGGGTTTAATAGCTCAATATAAATTCTTAAAGTGAGTTTGGCACAATAACTGGGTCGGACATATTCTAGCCTTTTAAGCCTGACTTCCACAAGCACTGCGGCTGCGCCGGATTTCTACCTAATTTTGGCTTCCAAAGCAATGTTTTTTGTCCACTTTTTGCAGCTTGGTGTATTTAAAAGATACCCTTCATAGTCTGCAACCTGTGGTTTGCACTGTTTTGTGTGATGGGTTATCAAACATACTGAAGTGCACAGTGTGGTTAGCTGAATGTTCAGCTAAAGCTCTGTTTCTCTCCACACACAAACGCGTAGCCACACACACCTTCTAATGGCCCATCAGCCAGTCATTTGTGAGATGCCTGAAACTATGACATGATCCCCCCTCGTATTGATCAGAAGGATAGAGCTGCGCAGAGGTAACCTGATTACTTAGATGGTAGCGATAGGCAGAAAGCTCCTCTTTTATCTGGAAACCAAGGTTGAAAATGTCAGAGAATTGAAAATGAAGATATTTTAGGAGAAAGAAATAACCGAGCATGTTTCGAGACATGCTTGAGCTTGCGTCCGTGGCAGTCCAGTTTTACGTGCATGTGCTAGGCTATGTGCAAATAGGATTTCTCATTTCTCACTTCATCAATCTGTGCGTCATATGCATGCAAAATATGCACACCTGCATCTATCTCAGTGTGTTCGGCTCGGCAGGAGCCCGCTAACACTGCTGGCAGTCGAATGTGCAAAGTGTGCACAGAGCAGCATGTTGACAGGTGTCCATTTTAAAGTGTGCACGCAGCAGCAGAGGAAAGATGTGACACAGGGAAGGACAGGGCGGTGTAAGTGTGTGTGTGCTGGGGCGGGAGGTGCGTTAGTGTGAGCCGAACCGGCTGTGAAGGCCCGGAGAAAATAGAAAAAAATAAAATAAACATGTACTATGGAAAGTGAAGACACTGACAGGGAGAGTGGTCCACATGTTATGTAAGTCTTTTGAGGTGTGTGTGTGTGTATT